CTGCTCTGATAGTTCTCTTCTTTTTGCTCTGTTTCCTCGCTTTCTGTTTTTTGTTTTGTTTCTTTCTAGCAGTTGTCTCAGGCGCATGCATGGGCTTATACAGCCCCCAAAATTCTGTTTACTTTTCTGTAGAAGTTTTGCTGTTTTTTTTTCTCTGTATTCTTATATTTATTGCTTTCTTTTGTTTTTGTTGTGTATGCAGTTGATGGCGTTTCTCTGTGNTCTCTGTATTCTTATATTTATTGCTTTCTTTTGTTTTTGTTGTGTATGCAGTTGATGGCGTTTCTCTGTGTTCCTTCCGTGCCTGTATCTGTATAAGCAGTCTTTCCAATTGTAGTTTTCTTTTTTGTTTTTTTAGGCTTTTAGGGTTTAGGGTTTAGGGTTTAGGGTTTAGGGTTTAGGGTTTAGGGTTTTTTGTTTTACCCTGAATACAATGCCGGCGAAAGGCAGTCTTTGTTACGCTTGCGGTATCCATACACCCCATAAAACAAAACGAATTCGTGCAGCTTCTGTTGGCGAATATTTCAAAAGATATTTGAATTTCTTTGAATATATTTAAATTATATAAAGTTTTATCAAAGAAAATTAAATATATTTTGCTTCTTTCGTAGTTTGTTTCCTCGGGATTTTTGTGAATTCAACTGTGCGGCGCACACCAAGAAACTGCGGTGGACCGATATATTGATATATTGATTTATTTTTAATGTTATTAATTTAAATACTTGTTTACTTTCCATTTATTTTTTATTTATTTCATTTATTTTTTTTAATTCAACGAAAAATGGCCGCTGAAATCGCTCAGGCAGGAGAGCTGCGCCGAGCACGGAAGCGGAGCGGTTAAGTATACAGCAAGGGGAACCAAACCCTTTGAACAAAAAAATATATATAGTAATATATATATAATATAATATATAAATATAAATATATAAATATATATATTATTATAAATTTTTCATAAATTTTTTGAATATTTCAATTCGATTTCTCTGCGCACTGAGCCCACTGAATGCAGGCGGGAAAGACAGACACGGAGCCGAGCAGCGATCAGAGCTTACTAGCGATCTTCGTATATTTTATGTTTATTTTCGGCGAATTTCTCTTGAAATAATGTTATATTGCTGTGAATAAACATTAAATGTTGTTTATTGATGTATTTCATCATAAAATACCCCCATTTCTGCTCGCTTTCCTGCGGGTCCGCCGGCGCCTGGTTTCTTCGGCGGTTGTTCAGGTTTCCTTCTATGGAGTGTTTGTATCTGTTGCAGTTATTTATTTGTGAAATAAACGAATTTAATAACTAATTTAGGTATTTTCAGGTGAATTAAGGTAAAAAAAGGTGAAATAAAGGTTTAAAACGAGAAAAAATATATTCGTGTTTCGGTGGTTTTTCTGCACGCCGATGATCAGGCAGCGAGCGGCTGGTATTCAAAGATGAAGAAGAAAGCTAAGATTCTGATTGGTGTGGGTGTTGCTGTATTGGTATTATGTATTTTAACGGTAACTTTGGTTATTGTTCTCCGCAAAGAAGAATGGATCGTCCTAGAACGCAGCTTCTCTTCTCTCAACGATCAGTGTACACCTGACTGGAGCGGCAACAGCGACTGGCGCCGAAAACGCTGCAAAATGCCGCTTATATGTGCAGCAGCCAAAGACCAAAAGATAGGTAAATACACACAAAGAGGGAGCGCATGCAAGCAACAGCCACACACTCACTACACCCACACACGCACACACACAAACACACACACATATATAATTCTATACGCGGTCTTTCTTGTTCTGTTGCACCTCTTTAGCAAGCCCCAATGCAGCCCCCGAACCCCAACGCTTATCGAGTTGTTGTAAGGGGCCAGTCCTTAGCTTAACGTTTACCCTATATATACATCTCCTGGCGCTGCATCCTCTGCAGCACCAGGCATGCATGCACACATACATGCATGCATGCATGCATGCATGCAGGCATGCATGCATGATTACAAATGCCTTGTTTTTCGTTTCCAGCAGTTACACCTACAGTTCTTTCTCCCGCTGCTGCTTTCGTCTGAGCAGCAAGATATCTTTGCAAATCCTGTTTCTGCTGCAGCAGCTGCTGCTGCGGTTGCTGCAGCAGTTGCTGCTGCAGTTGCTGCATCTGTTTCTGCTGCAGCATTTATCGTTATTTCCTTTGTTACTATTGCTTTTGTATTTCAGGTTACTGCCGTGCTCCTTGGAGTGAAGGAGAAGGAAAGAGCTGCGGTTCTTCGGTGCATCTATGTGCTGCTGGTTTGGCTTGTGATCCATATCTAAAGATATGTCGCCGCTTAATAAGCGTTGGCGGCAGCTGTACAGAGCAGAATGCTTTTATGTGTGAGTCAGGTATCTGCGGCTACGCAGCAACACAAACCATAGAGGGAGAGCCCCTGGGGGGCAGGCATTCTCTCTCTCGCTATTGTATCGTCAAGGATCTTCCCCCTGGGGCTGCATGCGATCGATTCAGGCATTGTGTTTCAGACTGCCTGCAGTGTGTACAGGGTGTATGTAAGCCGGTGGTGTCGCCGCTGCAGCAGCAGCAAGCTCTCCTAGAGCAGCAGCAAGAACTCATGATGCCGCTAGCCGTCAATGGGTTCAGTGCTGATGAACAGCAGCAGCAGCAGCAGCAGCAGCAACAGCAGCAGCAGCAGCAGCAGCAG